AAGCGCACCACTGGTAAGCCAGAATCTTAGACACGTTGTTGCAATTGTACTTTTGAAAGACATTTAAACCCGACGACTGAGCATGGCTGTCAACGTGTTAGTTCAAACAGATGGACTCGTAACAGTCGGTTTCTTTTCGAGAAATACACTAATTTGCAAATCAGTTTGGTTTTCTACCCAGTGCACCGGTTGTCAATAGTGTCTCTCGTACGAATGTAACGTTCGGGTTATCCAACAGTTTAGAGAGTGCATTCAACCTCGATCGGGACACGTTATTGGCTCACAGGTTCCGTCTGTGTACATCCCTTTTTCACCAATACAAGAGTAGGCTTTACTTGGTCCATAAGCTCCATTGGCAGATTTGTTTTCTCGATGCGCTCGGATTATTGCGATCTTTCATTCTAATTTAAGTAACAAGTGTAACCACGAGAGCAACCCTCAGTGAAAATTTTACGCAGAGGGCATCGTCTTCGAAACCGATGACTGAAATAAATCAGACCAGACATCTGCCCAAAAACAGTTTTCCTCAAACGAGTATACTTCCTAGCTTGTATCGAATTTCTTTGAGTTGTACGATTCGCATAAGTCTCTCAGCACCGGATCACGTGATACGAACTGCCTGATTGGAGTTGAGTGGTGTTCTCCGCCATCTAAGTGTAGCCTTTTCATGTTTCTGAGGAGCAGTACCCGAATGATAGGATGAACAGCTGCGTTGATTCACCCCCGTAAAATGTGTAAATGTCGGGTTCTAAACTCAAACTCAGTCAAGTCGATGTTTCACGTTTTAGCCTTTGGTTTTGAGTTCCTAGTGAAACCATTCTAGATGTACATTTCGCCCCAAGCACAAACCGCAACTGCGCCATTGATTGTTCAAAGTTTTGAACGAGGCCCCACCACTCACCCGACAAAAACGGTAAATCTCATAAGTTTCAACGATCAGCCATGGGATTTCCTTTAAAAAGGTATTGACTCAAAGAACTACGTGAGAGGTAATATAATTTGAAAGGCACAGAGAAACTGATGTATTGGTGCTCTGCCTAAGCAGATCCCGGTAATCTCGAACCAGTGAGCCTTAATTTCGGGTACGAACTTCACGTATGAGCAATTTCAAAGAGTAACCCTGCGGAGTATTTGAGAAGCGTCCTGAAAAAGCTTTGAGATCCAGGAACAAACCTCTGCCGCAGCTCTGTGCTCCTAAGCTCTCAGAGCAGTCCTGGCAAACTTTTGTTGGCAAGAACCAGCGAAGTGGTTGATCGATCAACACAGCACACATCTTTAAGGAGTATTCTTGAACTGACAGTCTCGGTAGTGCGGTTCGACGTCATATTCTCTCAAAATATGTCTCCACATGAAACCATATCTGCTTTTTCAAATCCCAGCAGCCTGACTGGAACGCCAACTCCTATTTTGCACCGAAAAAGTCAGTTTCCGATGCAAAGTTCATTTTACCAAACAGGTTGAAGTTTTGGCCATAGTAAGACCGGCTAGTTCTGTGGACATTTCGTCCTGTAAGTGAAGCCAATCTATGCTGAAAAGCCGAGAAGCACTGAACAGCTGTTCCATCCTTATTGGGAATCATCAGCAGTGCGCATCTCACGAAACTCTGGAGAGTCTCGAACCCGCGACCTCTTGGCAAGTAGTTTGACCACTTAATCATTCGGCCACGAGTGGCTGATCAGCAGTGTGATTAACTCGAACTTAGACAGGATATAGCGCCGCTCATCCTTCAATCACGGGATCCACATCACGCGGTCACACGTTTTGACTGACTCCTCGAGCCTGAGGAACTCGTATAATTTACATTTTATTTGAGTGAAGTGCTTCTAGGCTTTTCAGCATAGATAGTCCACAAGGGGGGCGTCTAGTTGGAACGGCAATTCTACACAGATTGTGCCGTTGACACTGAGGTTGTGTAGAACTGTAAAGAGTTTTTAGTTCAAACAGGTACGCATCTGAATTTGGAAACAAGCATAGGATGCTGTGACTGAAGAATAATTTCGAAAACTTGAATTTTATTGGTACTTCCAAACCTGAAGTCGTGTACAACCGCGGCCAAACTGTGATAAGTGGCATACATCTACACGTCATTCTCAACATCGTTTTACCGTTTTGCCTGTGATTTTGGCAGATTTGAGAAGTAAATTGAATTTAGGCGAGCAAAATTCATTCCGATTTGAACACAGCCACGTAGCCTTATTACATTCGAATTCAATTTAGCAGGCAGATTCATGATCGATAGCTGCTTCACTGAGGGCCCGTGATCTGGTCTTGTGATGGCACCGTGTACCGCAGCACAAAAGATAATTTCATTGGTTTCAAAAGATGAAAACGTGAAATGTGCAAACCGAAGTAACTGGTCATATCGTTAACACTCCCTTGATGATTGAGCTGCCTCCAGCATCTCGATGGTAAACATTTAAGTTCTCTTTTCTCCGTTTATCTGATGTCTTTTCGTGGTACCCATCTGAAGGGATACGGTGAAACACACCCGGTACTTTGCTGTCTCCAAATTGTCAAAACCGGGGTTGTATTTGTCTCCGGATGTCATCATACTTCAGACTTACCTATGCTTTCGGTTTGTGCCGGTGGAGTTGCAAGACCCCTCAGCCCAATTCATTGAATTGTGGAGATTGCATTACTACACCTGTAGCCACCCTTTCGTCACACACATGACTGTACAGGTCACCGACACTTGCTAGATCACCAGATCTGTCTTTTTTTTACACTCACAAATCACGCCACAGAATCGTGACTCACTTGACTACACAGCTCACAGTCAAGCCCTTGATCCCAAGACTCGTCCTTCTTTCCCTACACGTACAAATCACGACACACAAAGGTAACTCACCTGACATCGACTGTCTACCGTCCGATAAGGTAGCAACAAGTCATGTGCTGACACCCACACACACGCAAACGTTCCTACATATAGGATAACAGCACAGCAACACAACACCACTCAATAGAGCTTCGCACGTCGCCCAGCTCGGAGCAGAGCC